ATGGGGTGAGCACAGCACTGCAGTGGGGCCGGCACTGCTATGGGGTGGGAGGGAAGGAGCTCTGCAGCAGGCAGCAGGAGGTTGAGGAGCAAGGATTAAAGTGGCATCACAAATCTGTTTGGGCTCTTTACAAAGAAAAAAAAAAAGGCAAGAAATGTTTAAATTGTGCAAAAGGGCCCCCGGCAGAGGAGTGAGAGCAGCAGAGCCCTGCGCGGCGCTGGGAGGAGGGCTGACGTGGAGCTCAGCAGCCCGAGGAGTGCATGCTGCCCAGCTGCCCGGCCGCCAGCATCAGGATGTCCTTCCTCTCCTTGTGGAAGCGCAGCTCCTTCCCCGCCAGGCGAGCCTCGTCCAGCTCCCTCTCGGTGGAAGCCAGCTCACGGGACAGGGCCCCCGGGCTGCTCTGCTCCCTGTTCACCCAGTCCATGGCCATCTGCTGTCGGATGTCGTCGTCCAGAGCGCGGTGGGAGTAATGAGCCAGGACCTCCTGGTGGGGAGGACGGGGGTTTGAGGCGATGCCCGGCTCTGGGCAGCTCTGCAACGGGAGCCTTGAGGCACGCGGCCCCTGGGAGGCCAGCAGGGATGGGGAGGCGATCGTCCCCCTCTGCTCTGCTCTCATGAGGCCCCATCTGCAGCACTGCGTCCAGGGCTGGAGCCCCAGCACAAGAAGGACAGGGAGCTGTGGGAGAGGGTCCAGAGGAGCTGGAGATGAGCAGGGGCTGCAGCACCTCTCCTATGAGGAAAGGTTGAGGGAACTGGGCTTGGGTGGCTTGGAGAAGGGAAGGCTGCGGGGAGACCTCAGGGTGGCCTTCCAGAACTTGAGGGGAACGGATGAACAGGAGGGGGAACGGCTCTTTGTGAGGGTGGGTGGTGATGGGACAAGGGGGAATGGTGTAAAACCGAGCCAGGGGAGGCTGAGGTTGGATGTAGGAGGAAGTTTTTCACACAGAGTGGTGAGGCACTGTTACAGGCTGCCCAAGGGGGCTGTGGATGCCCCAGCCCTGCAGGCATTCAAGGCTGTGGCTCTTGGCAGCCTGGGCTGCTGGTTGGTGATCTGCACACAGCAGGGGTTGGAATGAGATGAGCCTTTTCAACCCAGGCCATTCTACGAGTCAATGATTCTATGGGTCCCTACGGCACCCCATGGGTCCCTCTGGCAGCCTGGTGTGCTGGTTGGTGACCCTGCACACTGCGGGGGGTTGGCACTGATGGGCACTGTGCTCCTTTTCAACCCAGGCCACTTGATTCTGTGCCTCCACGACTCACCTGCCGTGAGCACTGCCGCTCCCGCATGGCCTTCAGGCTGCCGTTCCAGTGCAGCAGTTGGAACACCGTCATCAGCTCCTGCAATAGCAACAGCAGGCAGTGGGTGCCAGCAGCGCAGGCTGTGCTCCTCCCCAGCCCTGTGAGCTCAGCGCTGTGCGCCATGCGCAGCCCTCTGTGGTCTGAGGGCCGTGGGGTCTGAGGGCCATTCGGGGCTCCGTAAGCAAGAGTTGTGAGTTAATGCGAGGATAATGAGAGAGACTGAGAACAGCAGCAACGCGCCGGGATGTCGGCAGCCAGAAATCCCCGCAGCCCAATGGACACCAACAGCACCACTCCGTTCTGCTCTCCTCGTGGGGCCGCACAGGCGCAGTGCTGGAGAGCCACAGCAACTGCTGAGCTGCCCCTACAGCTGGGCAGTACGGCGCAACCAACACGGTGCTGCTCCTCCTGCAAGGGCCGGCCTGCCACAGCAACCGCTGCATGAAGACGGGAGAGAGCTCAGCGCACAGCCATGCTCTGCATGGGCTCCTTCTGCTCCGTTACCAAAGGCCATCAGCACTACGGCATCGCCCTCGGCACCAAGGGCACCTCACCGCATGTTTTGCTGTACACCAAATGGCCGGGCTTGGAAGGGACTCCAGGCTCACGGAGCTCCAACCCCACCCTGCTGCCAACCTCCCCACGTCTCACAGCAGCCCAGGCTGCCCAGGGCCCCATCCAGCCTGGCCTCCAAGCCCTCCAGGGATGGACGGGGCATCGCAGCCTCTCTGGGCAGCTGTTCAGCCCCTCACCGCTCTCCCAGCACACAACTTCCCTGAGCCCCAGCCTCCAGCTGCCCTCCCTCCGCTTCCAGCCGTTCCCTGCTCTCATCTCCCCTGCCCAAGAGCTGCCTCCCCTCCTGGCTGCAGGCTCCCTGCAGGCGCTGCAGGCTGCACTCAGCTCAGCCCCAGCTCCTCTTCTCCATGCTGAACGAGCCCAGCTCCCTCAGCCTGGCTTTGCAGGGAGCTGCTGCAGCCCCTG